AATTGAAATTCGAATTGGCGAAGATTTTGACCTTGAATGGTGTTCTCCAGACTATGCTAGGATTTTTTTTGCAAATAAGAGAAGTGAAATGAGTGAGAAAATTTTAGTGGGGTATTTTAAATGTATGTCTGTTCGGGTTTTCCAAAGTTATGAAATAGGCCTCTCATTGGGCGAGCTTGTGCAGCGCTAGTCAAGAGTTAGTGTTTCTGACTTTTGGTTTCCCCTGGGCGGGTTACGCTTAGTGAACCCTTATTTTTGTGGTTTGACATATTGCTTTTTTATCAGTGTGATTTAAATTAAGCTAATTAATTAAAATCTAATTATAAAGAAAACCTATAAAATGTGATTGGGTTACCTCCCAACCCAACCAATGCTTATTTAATGTCAGTAGCTTGATAGTGATTGGTGTCACGAGCATCCTCATAATTTTCATGAAAGGTCTTTTCAAGATGAGAAGTGTTTTTTGGTCTGTCTTGACATACAATATCACAAACTCTATAGAAAATAAGTGATTGTCAACATGTATCAATACATCCTTGACTGCTCTCACTGGTTTCCAGAATGTTTTGTCTACCATTTGCAAGTCTGTTGCATACGACATTACTTAGAGATGCCCAATTCTGTCTACAACAAACAGTGGCATAATATGAAAATTTTCCCTAAATCAATAAGTGAATTTCCAATTTTCATATTACCTATAGAGACATGTAATACTATTACTCCAAGGCCCTTCAATCCTTCTATTCAGGCTTCATCCTGCATTTCTTCTTCTTCTTCTAACTCTTCTACTTCTTATTGCTTCGTTTTAACAACATTTTTATCATCCCTGACAATAGCATTGCAGTTTTCCTTTGAATTATTCTTGGTATTTTCACTGAATGTGTTGCTCAGAATATCTAAGAATAATTTGGCTAATTGGACCATTTGTACTTCAAGATTTTTAATAGAGGCTTCAATTTTTTTCTAGCCATAGGCACCTGCATAAATTGATTTAGTTTATCCTCCAAATTTGTTACATTATCGGATAGTGGACGTACTTATGAGTAATGCTAAGAATGTTGTCTATTAGATGAACCAACTTTGAATCTCCATCCTTGATTGAAATTATTGTTCTATGAGAAGTTGTTGTTTTGATATTGCTCAAGCTTTTGGTTGTCTAAATAGTTTATTTCCCCATTAGTAGGGGAAATCCAGTTGGATGATCTCCACTGCAGAGCTCACAAAATACAATTTACATCTATTAACGTACTTCATTAATCTCCTTCAATTGTTGTGGCAACTTTGACAATTGTCTAGTTAATTCATCCACCGTCTAGGTTAACAACTTGTTTTGAGAAAGAATGGCATCATTGATATTAAATTCTATGATATCACTCTTCTTTTGAGTGGGGTTCATGTTGTGTTGTTATTGATAATCATTAAGCATCATATGCTCAATGATTACAGTTGCATCTTCAGCTCTTTTGGATAATAAAGAACCTACAGCAGTAGCATCTAGTAACAACTTAAGGTTGTTGTTGAAGTCCTTTTTAAAAAAATGTGTATTTGTGGAAGTTCATCAAAACCTTGGTTTTGACATCTTTTCAACATTGACTTATACCTTTATCGTGCTTATCAAAGAGTTTATATTATGTCTTAGGAAAACACTATGATGTTATTCTTTGCTTCCATGAATTTGTTATTAGGAAAGAATCTGTTTAGGAATTTCTCCTCCAATAAGTTCCAATTTGTCATCGTCGATGTAGGCTTATTTAGATACGACTTCTTTGTTTTCTCAATTAGTAAGTGTGGAAACAGTCGCAAGAATATTACTTCGTCCTCGTCTGTCAGTGCTCCTAGATACTAGCAATCTCATAGAATTTTGTGAGGTGTGTGTACGGATTTTCATGATCTAAACCTTCAAAAAGGTTAGCATACAAAACTTGTAAAAATTCCATTTTCATTTCACTTTGTCGGACATTTCTTTGAGCTCTAGTTAAATTAGCTAAACGTCTACGACTATGTTGACACGGTATGTCAGAATTAGTTTCTATTGATGTTGTTTACTCCAATCATTGTTCTCTATTGTGTTGAGAGAAAAGACTCTTCTATATCTAGCCTCGTGGGTTTTTATTTTCTGTTTTCACTAAAAAAATTGTGTGTGGTTCTTTCAATTTTAGGATTGAATAAGAGTTGTTCATCAAGAACCTTACTTCGCATAAATTACTAAAAACATATCAACTTCTAAATATTAAGGTTAAATTTTATAAACAAAATATAGAGAATATACGGTTATACAAAAATATATACGAACTTAAAATAATAAATTATGCCTTTATTTTTAAAACTTAACATCAGTCCCCACAACGGTCATTTTATTGCGTTTGTAGTAAAAATAAGTTTTATAATTTTCGTATCCACAAAGACCGGTGGTTTCAAAGAATGAGCAGCAACAATTTATTATTCTAAGTAAGAAAAAAAATTTGTGTTTGTTGTGATGCAAAAAATGTAAATGACAAAAATAAATAAATAACAGAAAATAAAGTTGGAGGTGTCGGTGTTAATACTCAAAATGCTTGTTGGGGTAGATTTCTCTTTACGTATTTATTATGCACATCCATATGTTATCCGTATGCTCATCTACTCAGCGTATAATGTTACCACTTGTTACCCTAATGTGTATCTCCTTTCGATCTTCATGTCATTGTATTATCACATAGAACGATATACATTACTATTAACCAACACATAGCAGTGATTCCCAACAGTAACAAAGAAGCGAGACTTATCACCGATCTTGTTATAATGTGAGTGGATATTGAACCTATACCTATGTATAAATTTAGTACTCAATAGGTGATTATCCCTGATCTGGTAATGACAAACACTTTTCGATGTCAAGTCCCATCATGAAAAGAGGTTTTAAGTTGCAAAGCTAAAACAAACATAAAAATTAAGGAGTCGCCAATATTACAGCATGACTAGATTAACATAGAACATCATGACTTCTTTAATACATAAATATAATGACTACATCTAACCTCAACAATAGAAATTTTAGCTACGTTTACACATAGTTGACGCAACAACTGGTCTTTCTAGAGATGTCGGCTTCAAAAACAGGATCTTCTCTCCTAAGCAACATTTTCGCCTTCAGACTTCCTTTATTATCCTCTTATTGTAGATCGGAGTAAATCTACTCCAATTTTATACTCCTCCGATCTACCAAAACTCCCTTTATACTGAACTGAAAATTTATATATATGCAAAACTTTGAGCACTATTTTCTTCCCCAACACGCCTACTAAATCTTAGCTTTGTATTTTCTTTTTATGTAACGATTTTAATTGATAATTTATATTCGCAAGTGAGCAAAATATTTCTTTAAAAAATTATACAAATAAAATCAACATCATATAAATTATGTAATTTTTGAATTAGTAGATTTTTGAGACAAAATCAAATTTCAATCTAATAACTTCTATTTTATTTTAATATTTTATTTTTAAAATAATATTAATTTAAAATGTCAAATATATTAAAAAAATAGACTTTAAAAAATAACTTTGAAATCCGTGAAGCAAGCGAATTGAACCTAACAAGATGAGCCTAATGAGTTGAACCGAGTTGTTCGTAAACTTATAATGAACTGAGCTTGAGCTTAAAATAAAGTTCGTATCGAACTCGAACCGATATTTGAGTTAAACCAATGATTAACGAGTCGAGCTAAGCTAAAGCGAATTGGACTTGACTCGACTCATTTCCAGCCTCACTTGCATGTCTCCCACGTATCCTTGACTGCCTTTGCTCGCTTAACACACCATCCTTTCGACTAGCACGATAACCCTTACTTCATCATGAAGTACTTGCATTAGCCTTACATTTCATTCAACGTGCATGTAAATGGGACCTAGTGAGTCTTAACTTTTCAGGATTTACTTTTACCTGTTTTCTTTGTGTTTTTAAAAAATGCATACAATAAAAGTTCAAACATGTTTTTGTTTACTTTTCATAGATAAATCAAAATTTTTTATAATGATTACTTATAAAATAAGCAAATAAATACCAACGTATTTAACATAAATCTAACACTTATAAATATCACAAACATTATTAAATTATATAAAAATTCATGGAATATCAAAATACTTTTCAACAATTTTAAAAAAATTCTAATGAAATACACCAAACTAAAATTACGATCAACAAGTGAGACTTATAACATAAGGCACGTGACATACCATAGAATAATTAATAGGTGAACATTTATGCTACATTAAAATTAGTTGGGTATAGCAGCAAACGTTAATCATTCATTTTTTTTATTTTTATAATTTATTATGTTAAAATAAAATTTATTTTAAATAAACTTTATGTAGAGAATAGTAGTAATCATAATTAAAGATATATAAATTAGTCAAATACTAGACATCCGGTTTCTGAGTTCAAATCCGAGACAATATATTACTTAATAATATCGATATTTGTGGATTAAACTATTTTATTTTTTTTACCAATATCATACTTACATGGATAGAAGGAAACGCTAATTTTTCTAGATTTATAGTAAACATTGAATTTTTAAACAGAGGCGTTATCGCGGTGGCTAGAGCATTAGAAGTTAATGAGACCCTAAATCCAAGTAGAGTTCACATGGAAAACACGTTACTTACAACCCACGTCACCGTACTCTTGTTAGTCTTTAGAGGGAAGGATGTTGAAAGTGCATTGGTGCATGTGAACAGCTCCATGCCTCACTCTTCCGTCACACGGTGCCGTAAGTAATGCATGGATTATATTATTATATAAGTTTTAATATCAATAACCATTCAAATTTTAAAGTTGAAACACATTAGTATTATTTTTCAAGGTTTCTTTCTTTGGTTGGTTATTTATTGCCACAAGGACAGTGTATATTGCTATATAAGCGGCAAGATGCAATAAGTTTCAAGCCAGTGCAATAACTAAGCAATAAAATTAGTAATAATATACCAAGAAAGAGCAAGAGTTGTTTTGCCCTAATGGGGAGACTTATGTATGTTGATTTCCCACTAATAATATCTTTTGCAGTATTGAGTCTGTTTCAAGGAGTGGCAGCAGCAGCATCTCCACATCCAAAGTTGCAGTGGCATTACTATGAGTTCAACACTACATGCCGCTATGCAGAGGAGTATGTCCGGCACCAAGTGCAGCTGATATATGATCATGACAAAAGCATTACTGCTAAGTTACTACGCTTGGTTTACTCCGACTGTTTCATCACTGTATGTACTACTTCTCTCCCTTTATATACTTTGGTACTGGTTACTATTTTATTTTCTCCTTTTTCAACTTTTTAAGCTAAGAAAGGATATCTATGAGGTCAATGGCTGAAAGGAACTTAAAGTTATAAAAACAGCAGACCCTTGAAACTAAAAAATATGCAAGTTGGTTGCACTTGAAAACAGAGTAGGCTCGAAAGACCAACTCCTTCTAATCAATCTAAATCCAGTTGTTTCACTCAACTTAGAATTTAAAGTTCATGAAATTTAAAGGATAGGACGCCGTGTTACGCATACCTTTCAGAGCATTAGAAATACATAAGTTGTGTTTTTCATTATTTCTCCTGAATCTTAATTCATGTTGTGGCATAGGGCTGTGATGCATCAATACTGCTTGATGAAGGACCAAATCCTGAAAAAAAAGCACCACAGAACCGGGGGCTTGGAGGTTTTGTATTAATTGACAAGATCAAAACTGTTCTGGAATCACGATGCCCTGGGGTTGTCTCCTGCGCTGATATACTCCATCTCGCTGCCAGAGATGCTGCTAAAATGGTATTCTTTCAACTAGTCTGCTTCCATAGTTTTGCAGTATCCCCTCAGCGCCAAAATCTTCTCTCAAGGAAGGAGTAAAAGTTAACAAACAGTAACTGATTTGAGAATTAATGTCAACAGGCAGGTGCACCAGGTTATCCAGTTTTCACAGGAAGAAAGGATGGCATGAAATCAGATGCTGCATCAGTAGACCTGCCATCACCATCCATCTCATGGCAAGATGCTCTAACATACTTCAAATCAAGGGCCTTGGATGTATTAGATATGACAACACTCTTAGGTAAGGCAAGATTACAATCCAGTATAATCTACATGCTAATAATTTGTTCTAAATGAGAATCTATTTCATATCATGCAGGGGCGCACACAGTGGGCCAAACACATTGTAGCCACATTCTTGATAGGCTGTATAATCACAGTGGTACTGGAAACTCAGACCCAAGCATGGATGCTACTGTTCAAGACAATATGCGAAAACTTTGTCCCCCAAAAACAAAGAAAGGACAACATGACCCACTGGTATTCCTAAACCCAGAATCTGGTTCAGATTATTCCTTCAGAGAATCATACTACAAAAGGATCCTACGCAATGAAGCTGTCCTGGAAATCGATCAACAATTACTAAATGGTGACGATACTAAAGAGATCACTGAAGAATTTGCTGATGGATTTGAAGATTTCAGGAGAACTTTTGCAGTATCCATGTACAAAATGGGAAATATCAATATTTTAACAGGAAATCAAGGACAGATACGCCAAAACTGTCGATTCACAAATAAGGGAAACCCAAATTAGCAGCAAGAGAAATTGAACGTTTAGCGTGGATTCAGATATGCCCTGTTTAAACTTAATTGTCTGTGTTCTGAAGGTAATGAATAATTATGAGAAGGGATAAGAATTGCACCCTCCTTTGTCCTTTGTAAGATACTATTTAAGAAGTTACAAAAAAAAATTGTTGTGGTATGTATAAACCATTATATCATATTATATATCATTTCTTCTGCAAACTCAAATCCACCACAAAGATTAACTCTATGTTACCGTATAGGCGTATACTGCAACAATTCTCACCCCTGTATCTACCCTCCATTTCTTCTTGTAAGCATGTGCTTTTACCACTCCAAATGCTCTAAGTAGTAATAGCTTATGCATGATATTGTCCAGAAACATGAGATGGACAAAAATTGAAAGAACATTATCTGCACAACCAGTTCAAGTGTCCAAGACTGCCGATTTGTCAGAGACATGGAAGCAACCAGAGTGATGAAAAATCCCCTTGTCAATCTTCATCCTGGCTTCAAGAGGAAGAAAAGATAAAAGATAAAACATAAGCAATGTAAAAATCAAATCCTCCAAAGGGAAACAAATCTTTAACATCCCTTGCAGAACTAAGGTTAAACAATAAAGATAAATTGGAAATTTAAAAAATGATGTGTTGCATTTAAAACTGATTTAATCGATTTCCGGCAAGATTCCTAATCAATTACAACACTTAACCATTGAATAACCAATCCAAAATCAAATTTCTAGAGAAATATTCCAGCATTCAATAAATTAATCCCTACTGAAATATAATGTAAAAGACAGAGATAAAACATAAGATAAGAATGTAAAAATCAAATACTACAAAAGGGAACAAATCTTGAATATAATCTTCAGGAAATAAAGATAAACTGGAAATTTTAAAAAATATATGTTGTATTCAAACTGAACTTATCAATTTCCAACAAAGTTTCTAATCAATCACATCTCTTAGCCATTTAATAACCAATCCAAAATCAATTTTCTAGAGAAAGATTCCAGCATTCAATAAATTAAAATCACTATTGAAATATCATCAGCAATACTGCTAAAGCTAGTATTGTCAAATGGATATTGCGTGGTGCTAATCAACCACATACATAAATTTAATTTACAAACAATCAAATGTACTTAAGTGTGATAAATAAGAATCCTTTGCAACACACTCCCTGTTTCATTATAAGTGTCTCTTTGTGTAGTGCATATTTCTTAAGATAATGGTTAGTTATTTTGAATTTTGCAATTAAAAATTTTGTATAGCCTAAAATACCAAAATTAAGTGGTTGAAAGTAGTAGCAATAGAATAGGTAGGTTGACTATTTAATTAAATAAGGATGTTATTGTAAAAAGTAAACAATGTTGTTTTGATATTCTAAAATGATAATTGATTTGAACAGAAATATTCCAAATAACACAATTATAATGAGACAGGGCGAGTATGAAACAGGTATATTAAAGTCCCAAAATCCTTTCAACAGGGACTGGAGTGTTCATTCCATTAGCCACATCCAGCCTTGGCAAAGCAATTTAAAGGGCTGCACAATTTTCATCATGGGGAAGATATGACATTGTTAAAGTTATAAATTAACTGCTTCAGGGTTGAGCTTCAAACAAATAGAAGCAACGACATGTCAGAATCCCATAAACTCCCAACATATTTGTTTCCTTCAACCACATGCACCTATTGACTTCTTTGTTTACTCCTTATAGCTTTGCCCAAAGCTTTCAGCACGAGAGCCTTGTGAAATACGCTTTTTCCATTACTAATCCTAACATCGAATTTCCAAAAACCGGAACTGAATTGCGTGAGCAGCTTACTTGGGAAAGACCATCTAGAAATCCATGTAAAATCATCCAAAGTTAAGCAACCAGACAAAATGTAAAGCAGAACAAGGTGAAATTACCTCATAAAAAAGAGTAATGATGACAATGAGGGTACAACAGCTTGACGAAACTCCAAAAGCAAAAACACTTTAAGCTACAAAGTCTCCCATCCAAAGTGGATAAGTAATAAAACAATTAAACCGGGATCCAATTTGGAAAAGCATGGCCGCATAAGTGTTCCCCAGTGCCTTTCGGTGCTTTTATCTTAAGAGCATATAAAAATGATATTGCCCTAGTCCCTTTTTTCTGCAGCGCGGTTCTTTTTCTTGGTTGCCTGTCGAGGGATTAAACTTCAATTTTACCACGGGATCTTAGAAATATAGATAAAAGCAAGTCATGTATTTGGAGGGAAGATCGTTCTAAATGCACTGCAACATTAGAATAAAGAACAGCAGAGAGCAATTGACTTGGTCTAAATTTTATCTTGCATGAATATAGAAACAATGCAAGCATTGCAGTTCATCAGAACCAGACATAGATCAATAACAATACATAGCAGCAGTACTTCCACAAATTATTGGATCACTAAAAGATTAAAATAAGAATATTGAACATAGCCAAAAACAATTAGCAAAAGAATTTATTGCCCTCTTATATGAGTAGCAAGTAGAGAAAAATAACTAATTCAGGACTTGCCTTGTTAAAATATTTCTTTCGGAGTTTGATTGCTGTCCTTATGCATCTTTTTACATTGATCTCCAACATATTGTCATTGAAAATCTGTAATATATAATCATGAAATATTAAGTCAGAAAATACACTATTCTTGACTGATTTCCTTTCTTCCTTCTCTGCATGGTGAACTAAAGAACTCCGCGTAGAAGAAAACTTCCATAAAAACAAAGTAGTGAACACGTTGCATAAGTATAAGTACATATGGGCATGTATTGGTTTTCAAGTAATGATTCAGGACAGCCAGCATAGAGGGACTTAAAACTGGAGAAAGAAAAAAATAAAAGAAGATAAACTAAGCATGACCAAAAGGAATAGAATGCAAAGAATTAAAATATTGCCAATAGAGTTTCAGTCAGACAAATAATAATCACATGTCCAGGGTTAAGGGAATCATAAGCTCAGACATCATTTGAAACGAAAGAACTGAGATAGTACTTGAGACAAGAGAATTAAGGCTATTATTAAATGAAAATTATGAACTATAATAGGTACAAACTCTAATCACGTATAAAAGGTACATGTATAAGAAGTACATCAGACACATCAAAAAATGACACCGAGATGTCATTATTGTGTAAATGACTGAGAAAACATCAGGATAATATCAAGTGCTTAGCAGAATAAAGATTCACAACAACAAAATCAATACACTTTCAACTTCATATTTCCAGAATCCAGATCAAAACACAATCCAAACCATGGTACCCTACACCAGACATGATAAACAAAACGCCAAAAAAATGTAATTTGAGAATATAATTATTTATAATTTTAATAGTGGTCATTAATTGCTGGGTAAAAACAAAATATCAATGCACCTGCCTTTATCATATCATCGAACGAGTGGGTTTCTCGAATAATCTTCTGGCGGTTTAAAACAAGAATTGCTGCAACGCAGAAGGTGGCTAATTCATCGTTTCCTTTCCTTGCAAAGGAGGAAATTATTCTCGTTCGAACTCGATCATTTCTTGGCCAGATATTCCTTGCCAGGCCACAAAAGGTATTGGATTGCAACTTCAATTTGACATCAGATACAGGGTGATCAGTGTTCCCGTGATGTAGCTGCGGACTAGTTTTTGTGCTGTCATTTTCATTATGATTTGACTGTGAACCACTCTTGATACTATCATCAGAATCAGAAATTGCTTCTTTTCTATAACTGCTTGAGTCCCTGGGAAGATGTAAATCCAATGCTTCCGGACAATTCTCCTCTAAATCATATGTCCAGGATTCATCAAAGTCAGCTGCCCACATCATCTGCATTTTACAAGATTACTATTGTGTATCAACAGACTAACCCAATGAACTATCGAAAAGGTTATCGGTAAAGGGCACAAAATATTGTAAATTACAGGCATAATTTTCTTTGCAACATTACTATCAAATCCATATGCGCAATGTTGTATCAAAAAAAAAAACACTAACTCGTAACTACTCTTCAAAAATCATATGATTATTTTGATAAGACCCCAATAAACTTGATCAAATCAATACTCACAAGGTATGGAAGGCCAATCTCTGCCTTTGAATTAACTTTTTTGTTAAAAATTAAATTGCAACTCAACCTCCAAGGAAAAAAAACTAGATATGCGTGTTTTTGAACCGATAGCAATCAATCTTAAAACTAGGATCATATTTCAATCTTGTTCACTACTAGCAACCATATCGCTGCCAGCAGAAGCAGACATGCAATACAAGTGAGTAGGTTCCTCTAGGATTAACTTTCGAATTGAATTTCAAAAGCTTGAAAAAATGCGTGGGGGATTAAACAAGTTTTTGGTCAATCAAAGTATTGTAGTTTTCCAAGTTGATACCCATTTTCAACTTCTTTTCCAATTGAGTGTTCCATAAATTATTTTGTTTATCAAATGTTACTCTGCCACATTTCACTGTTAGTGCACAGGTGGCATACAAAAAAGGGACTAATTTGCTAATAATAAAGTTATTTTGTCAAACAAATAATACGTTTAAACAATCAGTGGGATTTTTGTGTGTGGTGGGGGTAGGGGGTTGGAAGAAGTTCCACGAACCTCCCACATTGAAAGAGCCTCATTAAACGATAACTCTCTCCGAAAGAGAACTAGCAACATACGAAATGCAAAATGAAGGCTTTCAGCACCAATTTTTGATAGGTGGGCAAAAAGTTCTTTGTCTGACAGCTCAAGAATATGCCATAATGCTTGCAACTGCTTCATCACCCTAGTTGGGCCTTCCATTTGAAAATTCTCTCTCTGGAGATAGGTCAAAGAAAACAAGTCAGTCACTGCAAACAAAGTTTTGTTCTTGAATCTTATCTGAATTCACAAATACCATTCTTCTCAAAAGCATCTCAAAACACCAAAATGCATCCGCGTTATCCTCAAAGATTACCACAAAGGGAGACAGCAAATCACTCATACCTAAAATCCAATAGCCAGTAAAAAGGTAAATTTTGGGTCTAAAATTAGTGTTACAAGCATCCTGCATTGGCAAGAAGTCAAGAAATTTATAGGAAAAAAAAAAAATAACCTTGACAATACCCCGTTGCAGGATCAACCCATGCATAGACAGCAAGGATATCCGACATTCTAGCCAAATTTCTCCTGTCCTCATAGAATTCAAGATGACTATCGGTCCTCACAACATCAACAACTAGAAAAGGATTAAGCTCGTTAGCATGAAACTAAAGCAGAATAAAACATTCAAGAACAAACACAGTATACAGCTTATATACCTATCCTGTGCAAAGTCCAAAGCCATTCTGATACTCTATCTTCACTGGCAGCCCATCCTTGAGACATCGAGGCACTTGTCATCGTTGGCTGTGGTACATCTGATATTTTTAGTTGACTTACTATCGGTGTTTCATAAACTGGATTGTCAGGTGAAAATTCTGGTTCATCTTCATCAGCTGAAGCAATTTCAATTTCAGAGTTTACAGGATGGAAGGTAGTAACAGATTGGCCATTTGATTCAATAACTAAGTCTACATTGTTATTGACATCGAAGCTATGCATTGAGTCATTTTCAAATCTTAGGTTACATCGTGCAGAAAGTTTATTGCCATGCTCTGTGACCGAGTTTTTATCTTCATCGCTCTTTTCAAACAGATCGGTGACGGGTAAAGGAGGAAAATCAAAACTACTGTCAATCATATTATGTGATCCATCTGGTTCTCTCCCTGTCTTTGGGGAACTGCAGCATAGATGACCAGAAGAATCATAAACTGCCCTACCTATGCTTGCTCTCAGATTAACTTGGTCAGCCCAATTACCAGAGCTTTCATGATGACGCGTGTTTGCTGCCTCAGCACAAATAATGCTCCTGCCATGACACTGTTCTACTTCAACATTATTATCATTAGATATTGATCTTTCCAGTTTAGCTTCGATTTTATGTTCATCTTTAGAGGAGGTCCTCATATCCATTACTTTGGATCCAACTACATATGCCAATGAACCAGTTCCCACACTTGAATGCATTGCTTGACATTGCTTAACCAGGTTCCTGTAAAGCTCCCTGCAATGGCAATTTCTCAAGAATGTCAATAAGTAATAACTACATATTCAAGAATCCAAGAAAGGTGCTACAGTACAGAAGCTGAAATCGTGTCTCCGTTGAAAGCTAAATGGATTTTACAACCACACTTCTATTGACAGTTACACAAATAGTTGCCCAACAGATTTCAAAGGAATGAATTGTTATGGGCCTTTGCAGAGAACCTAGTCTTGTTTAGACACGGATGAATTCGTCTTGTAGCCTTTAGCAAAATTGGAATAAAGTCCCACCTAGGATAATCAAATTGGAAGAATAATTGATTGATTTTCCATTGAATTACTCACACCAATTTAAAGTCTACCCCTGATAAAAGAATGAATTCTGATTGATAGGTTCTTATCCATATACATGAAACATCATTAAAAAAAATTATAAAACAAAAATATAACTATTTTAATTGGGATGGGGTAAAAGGCTGGGCAGCATTATTGCGGCTGTTTTCCCACAATTCAACATCGTGTATTCATGAATGCAGACATATGGCCACCTTCATCCGTGACAGATATGTTGAATTGGCAAGTTCTAAGTTGTGACTTCTTAAGTTATAGACAATAGGTTCAATATTCATTACATTCAAAATAAGCATCTATAATATCCAGTAAATACTAGAGATAAAGAAATTAAGGAAAGTGAATTGATCTGCACCTTCTAGCTGTTCTCAGCCTTCGCCGATACTCAGCAGTGCTGCTCAGTGCATAACAACCTAGTAAGAACTCCCAAACTTCGGGTCTAATTGATGGATCTACACCCTAACAGACATGGGAAGAAAAGGAAATAAATCAGAAAAGAACAATAATTCCTATATTAGCCACGACTTTAGAAAGAAATTCTCAGTTTTCATAACTGATGTCTCAAGAGTACATTTGAATATTTTTATATCGATGTAAAAGAAAATTAAACTCACAAATTCGCTCACGACTTAAGAGAGGGTATATTTTTTAAATTATATTATTTTAATGAGACCGTGAATATGGCCTATTATTATGATTGAAAATGGACTGGACCCAGCTCAATTCCAAGAATTAGTTCAAGGGGGGGAAATTACTCAAGTCATACTAAGGAGTACTTTGGCCATGTACCTAGCCGAAGTGGGATGTTGGCACACCTTCCTTACAACATGTGGTTTACATGACCAAACATCTATGAGTAACCTAACATCAAGGCTGAGATATACTCTTGAATCAAAGTAGATTCAGAACAAACTGCGATTAATTTAACCGCAAATGATAGCTCAAGCAGGGAGCACTGCCCAAGTCAATATAAGGAGTACTTTGAACATATATAATATGCCTATTGCATGCGGGATCTTAGCACCTACAACTGAAGGGATTTTTTTTTTTTAAATTAATAGTCAGTCTAGAAGTTACATGATGTGTTACTTGTTGAGTATTAGATCTGCATGTCATCTGGGTATATTATACAGCAATCAGCAAAAATTAATAAAAGTCATTTTATATACAGATAGTAAATATGAAAAAAAAAGAGCAACTTATTAGGCCTCAATTTCTGTATTCAAAACAACCAAGATAATGGGTTGAACCTAAACTGCATTCAGTGTACTAAATAATTATCATTAAATATGAGATGCATTTTTTTCAGGCCTTAATTTCTGCATGCAAAAAGGCTAAACAGATTGAACTTGGTGCACATTCAATGTGCTGTATTTTGACCATCAAAAGAAACTCAATAAAGAGTCTAGAAATAATGAACTAGTCAAACAAATTGATATCAATGTAAGAGTAATGTTTTATTTGCAAATGTTTAGAAAAACAATTTAATGAATTTATTTTATTTTCATAAACAAAGTTGAAGTAATCATGATTCTGGCATTGTGATTGGACAATGCAAAAGCTGTTATTGAATAGCTTGACAAGATCCCAAAAGGTGAAGAGGACTCATGCTTATGATAAACAAAGAGTGTTATGGTCATACAAATAACGAAACCTATTTATTTACTCAGCCTATTAATGAATTGGTTGGTGACAACTGGAAACAACATTCTTATTGATTGAGCAAATTATTAGTTGAAAAAATTAAGAAAATGAAAGCAACATCTAGCTAGATGTACAATACTTAAGGGACAAAACTCTCTCCAGGAGGCAGGCCTATTCCTTCCGTTCATACAGTTCTTAACAAGACTTTGCTGATGGGAACTGAGCTGATCACCATCCTCAAACCGGTATTATTTTCAACCCCATAAAACCAAGAAGGTACACCAAATTCATGAGCATGCAGCATCATAAATTGAAGAAAATGACTATATTGATGAAGGTGATGATACTATATAGAAAAACGAACTCAGTTTGAATAACAACGTACCCCTAACACCACCAATTTCAGTGCCTTCCGGAATCCTAAAACCTTTCCTTCACTATCAGACAAAGCTTCCCATATGTCTGGCTTAAGCATTCTGTTTACCTGCTCCATGATGATGATCATAGTAACAAAAACCATTAAACAAGTAATTTTATGAAATTTCTACTTTAAATAACAAGGTCCCCTCTGATGCCCAATGTTTCAAATGAGAGGTCAATAGCAATATCCTATAATAAAAATGTTAGCAACACACTCCCTATGAGTGCCACCACAATGGGAATAGGTAGCACTAAATAGGTCTTTTGGGTTGAGCCTAATTCAACCCTACAAAACCGACTTGCAAGGTGAGGAATGTCCTTCACCTATAAATTTATTTGCAAACTCTATATCTCATCTAATGTGGGACTCTTCTAACACATCCCCCATATGATATTAGGAGCATGATGTGAGTGGCCTGATAGTGGGTGGCCAAAAGAATGTTAAATAACTGAGTTAGATCTAACTCATCCCTGCAAAATCAGCTTCTAAGATGAGGGATGCCTCCCACTTATAAAGTAATCTTCTGATCATATCTCACCCAATATGAGACTCTTAACATAAGGAATGAAACCCACATAATTTATGGGGGCCCACATGAGATTTATCTGTTCATAGAAAAAGTTTTGTTAGAAAGTATGTCGCCGGTATTTCTCACCTAGTATCAATCTCAATATGCATTCCATTATACAACAAGGACCTTGGAAAGTGCAATTGGCTTTGAAGTTCTAGGGCATCATTACTCGATGAACTAACATCAAACTACAACATACATTTGGCTGATTTTCCACATCCCATTTTACACAGAGGAAATCATTGTTAGAGTTAAAAACAATGTACAACAAACAAACACACACACACACAAGAATTAAAGCAAATAAATCAGCAAAACCCAGCAGAGTGCAGTCTTACAGTTACAGCACAACCTTTACAGGAGAATGAGAAAGGCAAGGCTCTCGAATGTCGCGCACTAACGAGCTCACTTTTCGCAAATTCACAGTACCAGCTTTTCCACAACTCCATTGCTTCCCCTCCCTCTCACAATACATTAGACTCTTCTCTCACACCTTCTCAGCAACCTCCACCACAAAACTCAACAATGTCAACAAATCAAACATTCACACACAAAAAAAAAAACCTAAATCCTCAGTTTCATTCCATTCCTATTTCCTAACAACATAACAACAATTTTTACCAATTCCAAAATTCAAACGAACAAATAAACAGAACATTACTCGATATCAATATACAGAACAAATCAATACTAATCGATCGTCAAAAACTAACCGAAAACGAAGATTTAAAGAGGATACGAAATCATACCGAAAACCGATTAGGAATGAAATATGAAAGGATCGTAGAAGAACGATTCGAATTGATTGATACGAATTGGAACGAATGCTCGAAAGAGAGATCTGAGAAAATCCAAGTTCAGAGATTCGTGAAGAGCTTCTTCTTCTTCTCCATGCTTGCTTCATTCGCCATTTCCCTCTAATAATAACACAATGAATGAAATTATGAAAATAACGTTTGTTTTTTTATATAATAATGAAAAATACTGTTTTATTTTAATCGATTAAATGCGTTAAAAATTATTTAAATGGATTTTTTTTACTAGGGCTTATTCATAAAGCCAAAGAGTAGTTCTAAAAAATTAATTGATAAAACAATAATAAAATGTAAATTATACATAAGTCAGCATCTTCGGCCAAATGAGTTAACTTGGACAATCTAGATTTGTAAGTGTTGTTTTATTAGGTGAGATTTAGAGAACAAAAATTAAAGGTACTATGAGTTCGTGAATTGAAAGGGTTGTATATACTAATATAAAAAATATAGTATTGCTACTACCAATATGGTGTATTTTAGGTGAGAAGTAAGAATGTAAGAAGAATGAGTCAAATATAAAATGTAGGAAGAATGAGTCAAATTCAAAGATAATATACTTCCAAAAATTGTAATAGAGAGAGAAAAAAAAAGTAGAAATGATATAAAATTATTAATTTAATCTTGAAATTATCAATATATCTTATTAATTTAATTTTAAATTATTAAATATTAATAAGGTCTAACCATTTAAAGATTGCATCATAGTGGAGATCGTTTTTATCTTTTCTAAATTCAAATATTAATTTCTAGTCAATCTCCGATTTTAATCAAAATGAAAAATTAAATTTCAAATATTCTAAATTAATTTCATGTATTTTTACCGCATAATCAACTTTTTAATATGAATAATCTTTTTTTTTATATTAAAATATATTTTAAATAAAATAATAATAACAAAATAATTTCAAACATCTATTTTTAAATAATAATAAAATTAAAATACAAAATATTAAAATTATATATATATTTTTATGAATTAAATTCACCTACTATTATGATTAGTTTTTTTTTTGGTAAGAATTTAGGACGTGTTTGTATAAAAGAAATAAAAGAGGGAGAGGTTAAAAAAAGAACACTAAATTTTATTTGTTTAGTTTGAGAGAGAGAAATTGAAGAGTGATAAAAGTGGCGGGGCCATGTCTAATTTCAATCTTCTCATAATAGAGAAGAAAATGGGGAGAGAAGAATTTTCTCTTAAAAATTCTGTGTCAATATGTTTTTTTTTTCTTTCTATGTTTTGTTCTTAGAAGAATTGTTTTGATAAGTCAACTTTATACGTGTAAAATGTGTATGGAGTTGAGATAAGCTATTCATTTGGTAATAAAAATTGTTCATTGTTTACTATATTCATTGTATCAAGTAATAAAAGTTTATTTATAATTATAAAAGTTTTAACTAAGAAATATTAAATTAACATAAATCTTTATATAAAAAATTAACATAAAAAATTTAAAAATCAAACCAAATAATTTATTTAACACAAATTTATTATTTAAAGAATGATTAATAAATTTAAGAAAAATAAATATTTAATTAATAAAATTAATAAATTAACTTAATTTAATCAAAGATATTTATGTCTTTGTCATAAATAAGACACTTTTTTCTCTTTGATTTCTCTCTCTTTTTTATATCAAACAATATATTAAATCTATTTTTTTTCTCTCTTTTCAAATTCTCTCTCATTTATTTTTCTCTTTACAACTTCTTCTCTCAACCAAACACACATTTAAAAATATATATCATTTTTTATTATCTAATTTGTGGATTAAAATTTATTCTTTAAAATTAAATATGTGAAATATCGCAGTTTTAAATTTATAAGTGACCATATAATTTTGCTTAAAGGTATATTTAGGGACAACAGTAAATAATTTATATTTCTGACACAACCACAGGTATTAAAACAAGAGATTTGTTTCTTGAATACAAATTTGATGAGAATTTAATCTAGTTATATACAAGGTGTATGTCATTAAATAAGAAAAATAATACAGTTAATAATTAAAAGAGTAAAGATTTATTTAATTTCTTATAAGAATTAGAGAGTCTAAATTAATCTCTAAGAAAAATAATAGGGAGTTTGTTTTACTATAAAGTCGAAGGAAGCGTCAAATTTGTTGAAAATAATTTCTTGTGTCGAAGTAGTCTGTTCGACAAAGACAAGGGAGTGTCGAAATAGTGTGTGTGTCGAAGGGAGATTGCTCAATCAAAGAGCTTGTGGATCGAAGCAAGCTACACACAGATTTGATTTGTTTTAAATTTAGATAGATTTAGTTTAGATCTAAAATAGATTGATTTGATTTAGTATCAAAATAGGTATTTTGGGCTTTTATAATTTTGGGCTTAGGAGCAAGCTAACCTAAATCTATAAATAGAGGGAGTAACCCCTGTTTTTGTAATCAAGACAATTAAGTCAATTCATTGTAATCACAGAATTTGCAATTGCAAGTGATTAATAAAGTTTTCCACAGTTTGTGGGCAGAGAGAAACTCTGCAGAAAATAATTGTCTTATTTTCTTTTCTCATAATTCATTATCATTGTGTTGTGATATCAATCTTGTTCATCAAGATTGATAGAAATTCATCATAGATATTTGGTGAATTTCCAACATCTGGTATCAAGAGCTCGGTAAATCGATTCAATGGAAGTATCGATCAAGAACGATTGGGAAAGAAGAAGAATTCACGATGGCGAGTTATGGAAATGCAAATTATCCAGCAACTCTACCAATTCTGAAAGTAGACAACTATGAGAATTGGTGCAAACAAATGAAAGTTTTATTCAGGTGTCAAGGTCTTTGGGATCTTGTAAAGGATGGACTGGAAGCGCTTGGAGAAAACGCTTCAGAAGAAGAAAAGAAGAAACACACAGAAGCTGAGAAGCTGAGTTATAAAGCACTCTTTATAATTCATCAATGTCTGAGTCCAGAAAATTTTGAAAATGTGAGTGATTCAGAATCTGCAAAAGAAGCTTTGGAGGTTCTTGAGAAGTCTTTTGGTGGTGCAGAAAAGGTGAAAGAAGTGAGGTTACATACTCACAAGATAACATATGAATTGCTTCATATGGAAGATAGTGAGAGCATATCTGATTTCTTCACTAGGGTTACAAAACTAGTGAATCAAATCAAGGTATGTGGAGAAACATTAACAACAAGAGTTGTTGTTTCGAAGATCTTGAGATCTTTGGCTCCTAAGTTCGACCACATGGTGGTGGCTATAGAAGAGGGAAAAAACTTGTCGAAATTGACTAAGGAAGAGCTTCAAGAGACGCTTGAATCTCATGAATAAGAATGAATGAAAGAGTTGCAGGCAAGTTGAAGAGTGATATGGCTTTGCATGCACATTCAGCAAAAGAAACCAAAGGCAAAGGAAAGTGGTTCGACAGAGGTAGAGGCGGCTACAACAAATCGTATGGTAGAGGAAACCAAAACGAAGGAAACGTGTCGAGTCAGAGAAGATCATACCAAGGCAACCAAAGAGGTGGTGTTGCAAATATAGGAAGAGGTTGTAACGCCCGTAATTTAATTAATTATTTAATTAAATTATTTTTGGAATATTTATGAAGATGTGTTATAATTAATTGGATTTATTTTATTAAGTGGAGAAATAATATTAGAGATATAATATTATATGGTGAAATAATATTAGAAGTATAATATTATTTGATGTGGGCATATTTTGAGAGAATAGAAGTAATAAAGGGGTGTGTTGGTTTTAAGCACAATAAGGAGATAATAGAATAATAGGGTTATTTTATTATTTGTTGTTAGAATAGAAAGAAAGAAGTAGTAGAAAGAAATAAGGATTTGGAAGAGAACGTGCAAGCTGCTAGAGAACGTGGAAAACGACAAGAATGAGAATCCAACTGGAAATTATAGAGCGACCTTCAATCCAAGGTAAGGGTGGGGTTCTAACTCTATAATTGGGTTATAATAATTGATATGTGGGGTTAGAAGCGATTGTTGTATTGTTCTTGAATTGAGAATATATGATTGATGTATGATGAGGATTGATGAATTTTGATGAATATTGATGTCTTGATGTTGTTAAAATGATGTAGAATTATAAGGTAATTATGGTTGATGAATTGTCGTGATTAGATTAAGTTCTAAGGCTCTAGTTATGAAACCCATAGTAAGATGCAGTGATGAAAACGCAGAACCGTACATGGAGGGCATCAGAAGTTACTGTCTAGAGCAATAAATCAATTAGGAATGGCGTTAGGCGTACTGTTCCCAATTAGGTTAATAACAGGCAAAGAATCAAAATAATAGGATGAAATAAAAAGTAGCAGTTATGACATTAGAAGTATGTTGACAAGAGTTGTGTCAGATTAGTGCAAGACATAAGTTCTGATGTTATACGTATGTTAGTTAGAAGTTGTGTTGCACCATTAAAGAATAGAGGTTCTGGTAGTAGAAGTTGTATTAGTCAAAAGATGTGGCTAGTCAGAAGTTGCATTAGTCAGAAGATGTGGCTAGTCAGAAGTTGTATTAGTCAGAAGATGGGGTTAGTCAAAAGTTGTATTAGTCAGAAGATGGGGTTAGTCAAAAGTTGTATTAGTCAGAAGATGGGGTTAGTCAGAAGTTGCATTAGTCAGAAGATTGTGTCGGCCAGAAGTTACGTTATTGGAAGTTGTATTATTAGAAGTTGGGTT